CCAACGGGAGAAGATCTCACAGTATTGGGAAAATGAAAGTCAGGGCATGCTGCCAGTACTCGGGGCCCCTCCTGAAGCTCTACCGGCATCAGCCCAGGACTGGGGAAACCCAGAACTGCCCGAGTTCATGCCAGAAGATGACCTGGAGGCCTATCTGGCCTCCTTCGAGCGAGTAGCAGACGCCTGCCACTGGCCCAGGAGAGAGTGGGGGGTGGCCCGACTCCTGCCGTCCCTCGGCGGAAAAGCCCAACAGGCCATTAGCAGCCTGGATGCCCGAGACGCCCGCGATTACGGGAAGGTGAAGGCCACCATCCTGCGAGGCTGCAGCATCAGCACGGAGATGCAGCGCCTCCACTTCCGGCAGTTCCGTTACCAGGAGGCCAAAGGGCCCCGGGAGGTTTGCAGCCGCCTGCAGGAGCTGTCCCATGGGTGGCTGAAGCCGGAGATCCGCACCAAGGAGCAGATCATGGAGCTGCTGATCCTGGAGCAGTTCCTGACCATCCTGCCGGAGGAAATCCAGAGCTGGGTGTGGGTGCGGCACCCGGAGACCTGCGCCCAGGCCATATCCCTGGCAGAGGATTTCCAGCTGGGGCAGCGAGAGGCTGGGATATGGGAGCAGCAGGTGAGAGCAGGCGCAGGGGAACGACAGACTTTATGGGCAGGTTTGGATGCTGCATGAGCACAGAGGGTTCTCCAGGCAGGACATGAGTGGGGCTTGTTCTGTCATCCAGTCTCAGCATCAAAATATAGGACGCAGGGCTCAGCTGGGTGCCTGCTACAGGGATTTCCTGGGCTCCCTGTAATGTGGTGCTTTGCAGATCCTGGTGTTGAATGGTTTGTAACTGTTGCTCCTCCCACCTTTTCCTGTCACTCTGTATCTTTCAGCGGGCCCATCTAGAGTGGCTGTGACTGCTGATATAGTACACTCAGTGCCTTGCCAGGGTTTGGAGCTACACTCAGATTGGGGAAGGCGAGGGGGAGAATTGGTTACTGTCGCTAAATGTTCCATTTGGTGGGTTATTCTGGATGCTGTGGAAAGGGGTAAGGAAAGGGCCAACGTTATTAAAAGCTTGAGCGGGTGTAAATTAGGGATAGCTGGTGGGGAGGAGAAAGGGGTGCTGTGGACAGAAACAGCCAGAGCAGTCTCTGTCCATGGATGCGGGGGTAGCAGGAGCTGTTCTGGTTTGGCTGGAGCAGCCCTTGCCTGTGGTGAGTTGTTTCCTCCCCCTCCCCATACCCTCTCTTTGAATGAGATAACCGACTAAACGGTCTGTTTAACCAGTTAGCCAATTAAATGGACTTCGCAGCCCTAGTATAAATATGCACCCAGGTGCACCTCTCCGCTCCAGTGACCATTGGGTGCCCTGGGATTTTCAAAGCGAGGGCAGGACTCAGCCTGAATGCCCGAAGCCTGCATGGGTGCTCAGGGCTGAGAGGGGATGCTGCTGGCTCGGCCTGAGGGTTTTCCAGCCCCTACTGCAGGGTGGCCGAATCCCCCAAGGAGGTGATCTAGATGGCACCAGAGGGCCCCTGCCAATGCGAACCCTTTGAAAGCCTTCCAGGCACACTGATGGCCGAGTGCCTGATGCCTGTAATGCCCTGTTGTCCTTTTCAAGGTCCCAGGGCCTGGACGCCAGGTGCAACGCTGGCCCTGACTGGCTGTTTTCCAGCCCCTACTGCAGGGTGGCCGAATCCCCCAAGGAGGTGATCTAGATGGCACCAGAGGGCCCCTGCCAATGCGAACCCTTTGAAAGCCTTCCAGGCACACTGATGGCCGAGTGCCTGATGCCTGTAATGCCCTGTTGTCCTTTTCAAGGTCCCAGGGCCTGGACGCCAGGTGCAACGCTGGCCCTGACTGGCTGTGATAGGACCGGGCTCTGGTAGGTTGACCTCTGTGGCTCCCCCTTCAGCTCATCAGCGGGATGAGTCTGTGCTTCAGTGTGTCAGGGCCTGCACATCCCGTTGAGCCTGCGAGGAGCCCCTGGCATGCTTTGCCGGCAGGACCCTTTGGAACCAGCTCTCCCCTGCGGTTGTCAGGCCTTGGCTCCTCCGTAACATGCTTGTCCTGGGTTCGTGCCTAGGTCACGGTGCGAGTGAAGGTTGAGGAAGTGACGTCAGAAGAAGTGGAGACCCCTGTAGCATTGTGGGAATCTCAGCACCCACAGCTGCATCCCAGTCCCAAGTGTGTCTCCCCAGAGGAGTTTGGACAAAGCAAGTCCAGGTTGCCCTGTGCCGATGAGGAGACCCAAGCACTACAGGACACAGGTACTGGGCCACGTACAAAGGAATGAGGGGTGTTCTCACCAAGGGGGGCACGTGAAGGGGGCACAGACAACAGTAACAAGGGAACCCCCAAGTCAGAGGGCCTGGGGAGGAATTGGGGAGAACTTGATGGCTCAGGAGAATTGTAACATGCAGGGGGGAGGAGGAACCTTTTTGGGTTGGGAGGGGCCACTGACTCACAGAAGAATCAGTCGGTGGCCGCACAAAAGCTTAAAAGAAAGAAACAAAACATCGGGCCCCTGACTGAGGAGGAGAGAGACGCTCCCCACGTTCCCCTCGCACAGCAGAGCCTCGGGGGGCCCAGGCTAGTAGATTTTGTAGGGGAAAAGCCTCCAGGCAGCATTTTACGGCACCGGCCAAGGGGAAGGGAAGCAGCAGCACACGGAGCCACTTCCTCTTAGGGGTGTTCACAAGCATGTCATTCATTAGTCGTGTAGTCGACACAAATCGATACAGGTCAGCACTGCAATCACTCCGTTGTGGCTCGTGCTGGGTCCTAGCACCTCACCCTGCTGCGGCTCTGAATTAGAAACACTTTAAGAGCTGGCACGTGGGTAGGCTGGCCGCTGTGGGGGGTTGGTGCCAGGACCCGGCCGGCCTGCCCATGTGCCGGCTCCTAAATTGCGTCCAATGCAGAGCCGCAGTGAGGATTGATGCTGGGACCCTGCCCATGAAAAAATGTGCTTGCAGAGCTGTGTGGAGGGGTTGCTTGTAGCCGATAGCGTTAACCGATAAGCACACACTTATCGTTTCATCATTTAATCGACTACACTATTACATCCCTACTTCCTCCCCATGCCAGCTCTGGCTTCCCTGACTCCAGCCTGTGAGCTTCGGGGCTCCTCTCCCCGCAGCAGTGAGCTAGCGCTGGTGCTCCAGCCCCGCTGGGAGAGCTGCAGGTGGGGAGCCATGGGGCTGGAGTGCCATTGTGGGCTCTCCAGTGCTTGGGGGAACCCTGAACCTCAGGGGCCAGGATCCAGGCAATCCAGGGGCCAGATCTGACCACTAGGCCTTAGCTTCCATGTCTTTCACCTACAGGTAAGCAAGATGGATGCCTGAGGAAGAGAGGGGGATGCATGGTGGCTGTGGGTGCTCATCAAGGGAATGTAGGTATTGTGGATAACAGCTCATCCTCTCCAGTGCCTCAGCAGTGAGTGAGGGGGGGCTGGCTATGAGAGGAACAGCCAGGGAGACCTGGTCCTTGCTACCCGCCCACACGATGGTGACCCATCTCCAAGCCCTCTGGGCAATTTGGGAAGTAGCAGTGGGAATGTAGGAGCTAGAATTCAGCCCTTCCTGAATTCACTGCCAGGCCCAGGATGCAGAGATACCTGCAGGCTCTGGTGTAACAGATGGTGTAGTAAAAGCACGGCCTAAAGAATGTGCCCCAGTCCTGGGCGCTGTGGTGCTGATGGGCTGAACAATCCTGGGAGGAACAAACTGTCCAGGGCGGCAGCAGGTTTGGCCGTGGATCCTGACGCAGGTTAGCAGAAGGGCACGTACACAGGGGAGCTAATACTTTAAGTGGGTTTCTGTAATAAATGGGGCATGATGGTCACCTTCTGATCACCATAGGGAGAGCAGGAAGAGCAGGTGTGTGGAATGGAGCGTCTGTACCATGTAGTCTGGCTTGTCCCGCTCGCGTGGGAATGGATCTGCAGAGAAACTGACAGTGTGGGGCGAGCTAAGAAAGAGAGAAAGCAGCCAGGAAGAGAGAGCCGGGACCAGAGAGACTCCAGGGGGTGTTCAGTGAATAGACAAGCGAAGGAGAAGCACAGTGAAGGCAAAGGAGATGAGCCAGCCGGGTAGGAGTGAGAAGGGAGGCTGCAGCAAAGAAGTGTGTATGGCGGTGGTGGGCAGTGTGTGGCCTGTGGGCTGCAAGGCTGCCCACCACTGCTATATGGAGAGGCTGGGATGGTCCTTAGCAAGGTGATGGGGCTGTCTGGGAGGAGAAGGAGGTGGAGAAAATTTTCTGGTAGGGTGTGAGGGGGGGGGGAAAAGTCAGGGAATGAAAAATAAGTATGTGGGGCTTCCTGACTGTTCCTGACTCAGGCTCCTCTTGGGACATCTCTAATAGAGCAGATGCGAGGCGGCCATAGTCCATGGCGTGGGATTTGTGACTCTTCTTTATAACAGCAGCACATGAAATGGATTCTCCTTTCCATCCAGGTGCCGGGATCCTGAGCATGGCTGAGAAGCTGCCTCAGCCTGAAAACCTGCAGCTCCCCACTGGGGGACGGGGACTGGGAGAGAGCGTTACCCCCAGTCATGAGCAAGGAGACACCTGCACAAGGCAGAGGAGGAACCCAGCACAGGAGGCAGATCCCACAGGGGAATGTGGGAGTGGACACAAGAGACTAACACAGACCCCTTCCCCAGGGAGGCCTCAGACCATAGGGGACTGTCAGCCACGTAGCAGCTTTCTCAGGACAGAGAAACCTCACAGATGTAGGGACTGTGGGGAAAGGTTCTGGGGGAAGCAGGAGCTCACAGAGCACGGCAAAGTGCACAGGAGCGAGAGGCCCCATCCTTGTGCTGAATGCGGGAAGAGCTTCAACCGCCTGGCTCATCTGAAGACCCACCAGAGGACCCACACGGGAGAGAAACCCTATTTCTGTGCCGAATGTGGGAAAAGCTTCGGCCACCTCTCCACCTTGACCACTCACCAGCGGCTGCACACGGGGGAGAGGCCCTACTCCTGCGCGGAGTGCAGGAAAACCTTCACTCACCCCTCGGACCTCAACAAACACCAGCGCTCCCACACCGGCGAGCGGCCCTACCCCTGCCCCCAGTGCGGGAAGCGCTTCAGCCTGCGCGGAGTGCGGGAAAACCTTCACCAACCCCTCGGACCTCAACAAGCACCAGCGCTCCCACACCGGCGAGCGGCCCTACCCCTGCGCCGAGTGCGGGAAGCGCTTCAGCCAGCAGTCGAATCTGACGATGCACCAAAGAAGCCACACCGAGGACAGGCCATATCCCTGCACCGAGTGCGGGAAGAGCTTCAAGTACCTCGCCGACCTCACCGTGCACAGGCGCTCCCACACCGGGGAACGGCCCTTCCCCTGCCCCCAGTGCGGGAAGAGCTTCAGTAACAAATCCTCTCTGGCCCGGCACCAGAGAATCCACGCCAGAGCCGCAGCCAGAAACAAGTGAGACCGTGTCTGGACTCACTGAGTTAACCTCTGTAAGCAAGTGGAGAAGGACATGAGCCATTATAACACAGCCTGAGGGAAATCACGTAGGCCATCGTCACGCTCTCTCCTCCTGCAGGAGAATGAGGGGGGCTTAAAATTGCTCCTCAGCGGCGTGCCAGTGCCTGGGACCCCCAAAAGATGTTCTGTCCGTTCCCGGTTTCACTAATAACTTGCTCTTACCACAGGTTGACATGCTGTAGAAAGGAGGTCAGGTGAGAGGCGCATCCTGCTTGCATTGCTGCAGCTCCAGGGCAGGTGTGTTTGCAGCAGGCCAGCCACAAGAGGTGGCAGGATTTTGTTTTCCTGTGGCTTAGAAAGGCCCCAACTTCTGAGACCCACCAACTCCACAGAAGAAACAGGCCTGCCTCCCAACAGCATTCAAACACCCCCTGCCCACAGCACCTCTCCAGCTCGCTGCCTGGCTCCTGCAGTGCCTGATTTGTAGTTCAGTAGGAGGCACCGGGGCTGGCCCTCTGTGATAGGCAGCTTAGCCCCTCTGCCCCCATCCCTGACCCTGCTCTACCTCATAGGTCTTAGCTGCATCCCAGTAAATATGCCCAATGTCTGCCATGCTGCATTATTAAAGCCCCTTCATCTGTCTGCCTCTTCCCGCTCACTTGTCTCAACCAACACCATAGATGATGCATTTATCACTTACTACCTAATTAAGTGGGCACTTTCCTGGAATAACCAGCTATTTACTCATCTCCCTCCTGTGTCTTCTGTTCCTGCCCTAATCACCACTCCGATCTTGCTTCTCTTGACTCCCTGGGATTGTTTCAGAAGCTGCCTTGGACTACAGCTGCCAATTCAGTTGTACTTAAGGGTTTGGATCAGGCTACACCCTGATCCTGCAAAGCAGGTATGTCCAAAGTCCGGCCCGCGGGCCAATTGCGGTCCGTGTTCCGATTTAATACGGCCCCCGCTTCCTCCCCCTCTCCTGGCTCCCCGGCGTTCTTTTGAACTGGCGCGCCCAGCGCGCCGCTTCCGGCCGCGCCGCCGCCGCCCATGGCCTCCACGGTCCTAGAGCCTGCCCTGTAGGGCACATCCGCAGCCCCGCTTCCCCTCTCGGCTGCAGGTTCGCCCTGCCCCCGGGCCGCCGTGAGGCCGGCGTGCCCTGCGCTCTCCGCCCGCCTCCGACCCTGCGGGCCCTCCGCCTTGGGGCTGAGAGTGCGGGGACGGCCCTCACGCATGTTCACTTCTTCAAATCTGGCCCTCTTTGAAAAAAGTTTGGACACCCCTGCTGCAAAGGAACTCCCTGTGAGCAGGTGCCTTTGAGGAGTGGGGTTTCTGCTTTTAATGCACTGACATACCTCATTTGCTGCTATTACGATTGCTTTATAGTTCTCTGGGGCTACGGCTACCCTGCCTTTTTTTGTGAAAGAAGATATGCAAATCATGCTTGTATTTGCATATCTTTTTCCGATTCTTTTTGCAGAAGAAGCTTTGAAATGTTGGGGAAAATCCCTCTTTTGCAAGCTCTGTGAGGGGAATAAACTAGAGTAGGGAGCTGATATTTCTTCTGTGTGTCATGGTAGAGACCACTGATTCCAGAGCATGTCCAGCAGTAGGGTCCACACTTTAGAAACATTCACAGAAGAGCTGCAATGATGGCCCAAGGCCCAGGAAAACATGTCCTGCATACCCACTCTGTTCATCTTAAAGCAGAAATGGGCAGCCTAGGCTAGCAGGTGGGCTACATGAGTGGCCTCCTTCATTTCAGGGGGCCGCAAGATTGTTGTAACCAAGACAGTTTCCTGAGATAGAGCAGTTTTACTAACTGCACTTGCTCTGAAGGCAGAGGGAGTGCAGGGCTTTTATAGTCCGTGTTATGTGCAACCAGCACACCCCTCACTTCACCTGACCTGGCTTTATATGCGTGTCACTTTGGTAATAGTGGTACAAAGAAACCAGCAGAATCTGGCAACTCTGCATGTGGGCTATGGTAAACAAAATGTTTTGCAGGCCATATACAGAACCCTGATGGGCCACGTGTGGCCCATAGATCACAGGTTGCCCACCACTGGCTTAAAAGGAAGATTAAGAGGCAACTTGATCAAACTATTTGATCCTAGAGAGCTCCTTAATCTTAAAACTGAACACACAACATAATCCAGTAGACAGACACTGAACTCAGCAAAGTTCAAACTGGCAGCAGGGTGAAAATTGTAACCGAGAGGGTTCTAAGCATTGCATAAGGGTACTAATGGGATGTGGTAAATTCCCAATCATTTAGAGTTTCCTTCTGAGGCCTATTCTACATTGCCATGGGCTGGCGGTGTAAGCTATGCAACTTTAGTGAATGACATAGCTGAAGTTAGTGTACTTAGAGCTACTTACCACTAACGCTGTCCTGTTAACTCCACCTAAGGTTCTCGATCTGGAATACCAGAGTTGACGAGCGCTCTGGCTCTTAGGCCCTTGGGATCTCACTCAGATTCTTAATGCCAAGAGCCTGCTGCAAACCATTTCATAAATATGTTAATGAGCTTCGGGACAACAAAGGGTTACAATAAACAGAATGTTGGAAAGACTCAACCCTGAGTCACCTAATTAATCCTCTAAGCCGGGGGTTCTCAAACTTTGTGATACCATGACCCCCCTCTAAGTTGCTGCAACCCCCCTCTAAATTGCTCATGACCCCGCCGAGGGGTCAGGACCCACAGTTTGAGAAATGTGGCCCTAACCTACAACCGCAGCTCCTCTCCTGTTCAGCACAGAACCTCCCTCCTGGATCCTAGTGCGCCTATGTAGTTGTGACGACGCGTTGGGGTTTTCCCGTCTCCTGCACCCCTGCAAGGGCACGAACAGACTCCCCAGCCAGTAGAATAAAGGGAGTTTATTGCTTCTTCAGGATACAGCACAGCACAGATGTAATCTGGTTACAGGGCAGGCCTAGGATGCCTCAGCCCCCCTTGAGATGGGAGAGCCTGGGCTCCTAAATCCCAGCCTGTTGCCTAGGCTGCTTCCTCCATGATCCCAGCCAGAGACTAACCAGCTCTCCTCCAGCCCTGCCCCCCAGCCAGGGGCGGCATTCCACCTTCCTTTGTTTCTCTCCCTAGGGGGTAGCTGGTCAGACAGGTTGAGAGACCCCTTTTGCATAATGACTCATCCCCTGCCCTGCTGGGCCGTGCTGCAGCCAGCAAGTCACCCCCCATTACGTCACAGTAGCCCACCCCCTGCAAGCTACAACCCCTTTCTACTGTTCAGCACCAAAAGGTCTAGGTTTCATTTTTCTCTACTTTAAATGTATTGGCACCAGTCATAGTTCGCCTCAGGTGCCAAATAGCCTTAGGCCGGCCCTGTTGTCACTCCTGCGACACCTCTACGGAGAGCTGGTTTTCACCCTGCTTTACGCTCAAACACTCATGTACATGAGGCTCTGTGATACAGCGGCAGTCTTGCACTTCACTTGCCTACCAGCCTACTTGCGGGTGTGGAAGCCCCTGCGGCTGCATGTGCACAGGTCACTCACCGGGCATTGTTTTCTTCAGGCTTGGGATCAGCCCTGAAACGCCCGCGCACTGCAGGACAAAACTCTTTCCTGTAAAAAAACCGAGCAGCCGCAAACCCCGTCTTCATGTTACGGTTGACGTCAGTGCTTTGTGCAGCTTGGAAGGAAACGCACTGATTCATCTCTGTGGCTAGGAGCGCTAAGCACAACATCCGTATCTCACGGGTCAGGCTTGGCAAGTGCCTTAAAGGCCTTTCAGCTACGTGCTTGTTCCTCTGCAGTCCCATTCAAAGCACATCTCTCTCTGTACTTAGCCTCTGCCCCCACCATGGGCACCACTTCCCCATCCTTTAGACTCAAGCCTCCCAGGCAGTTTATGAACTCTAGCTGGGTCACACAGGTAGCAGCAGTAAAATCATCCTTCGTTTCTTTTGACCCAACACAGTGCATACATTCTTGGTGTAGTGTTCAAAAGGCCTGTCTACACAAGGAAAATATTTTGAAATAACTCCTGAAATAACTATTTCAAAATAGCTTGTCCACACTACAGGGAAGCCTTGAAATTAGTCCAAGGCAGGTTCCCATAATGTGGATGTACTACCTCGACTTACAGCCTGAGGAAGCACTGGGGAGTAATTATTTGAATGACTCTGGGCAGTAGTTATTTCAAAATAGCAGCAGTGGAGCATTCACACTACCGCTATTTCTAAATAACTATTTTGAAATAAGCGTTATTTCTCATGGAAAGCAGGAGTTATTATTTCAAAATAATGGAGAAAGTGACTAAGGAAAAGTTATTTACTTGTTCTCATAACATAAAAACTCGGGGTCACCAAATGAAATTAATAGGTAGCAGGTTTAAAACAAAGAAAAGGAAGTTTTTCTTCACACAGTGCACAGTCAGCCTTTGGAACTCCTTGCCAGGGGATGTGATAAAGACCAGGACTTTAACAGGGTTCAAAAAAGAACTAAATGACTTCATGGAGGATAGATCTATCAGTGACTATTAGCCAGGATGGGTACGAGTGGTGTTTCTGGCCTCTGTTTGTCAGAGAAGCTGGAAATGGCTGACAGAGGAAAGATCGCTTGATGATTACCTGGTCTGTTCACTCCCTCTGGGGCACCTGGCATTGGCTGCTGTTGGCAGAAAGGATACTGGGCTAGATGGACCTTTGGTCTGACCCAGTATGGCCATTTTTATGTTTTTATTTTCTTACTCAATTGGTTACTGTGACGGCGCGTTGGGGGTTCCCCGTCTCCTGCACCCCGAAATGGCACAAACAGACTGCACCAGCCGGTGGAATAGAGGAAGTCTCCAGCACAGCGCAGCACAGATGTAATCTGGTTTCAGGAACTGGGGCTAAGAGGCCTCAGTGCCCCCCCTTGAGGTAGGGGAGTCCCAGCCCCCTCCCCAGTTCCTTATTCCCTCCCTTCCAGCCAGGAACTAACTAACCCTCTTCCAGCCCTGCCCCCCAGCCAGGGCAGCATTCCACCTTCCTTTGTTCCTCTCCATGGGGGGTGTCTGGCCACTGGTTCAACAAGTTTGGCATTACCTTGGCCTAGTGAGGCTTTCCCTGCTGGGTCTTGCTCCAGACAGCAGGGGTCACCACAGCCCAGCAAGTACCCCCACTACGTCACAGTTACTAACATGGTTTGATTAATCCATGTTAAAAGTTTATGTGGAATAATTTTCCTGAGTGACCCTCAGTACAACAGCCATAGGTTCATGTTTTCTAAATTCTTTTTGCAGCTATAAAGCGAAGGAACTTGCTTTTATTTTGAAATGAAAGTTGAGATCCTCATTTATCACGTGACTCCAGGAGGTGGGGCTTTAAGACAACACAGCAAGTATTACAAGTCTCAGGTTCAAATGCCACAAACAGGCAACACTTTATAGCCCTGCTGCTGCTGCTGTTATAAACCCACGGCCATGTGCCCCTACATATTGACGGTGTTAATGAGACCAAGGATTCATGTTTGGAGCCATCAAGTTTTGCCTGCGGGGCCTGGTTGGACAATTGTACCTTAGGGCAGTGGTCCCCAACGTGGTGCCTGCGGACACCATGGCGCCCACTGGGGCATTTATGTGCACTCACCAAGTGATCAGGGCCGGCCCAAGGTATTTTTGAGTCTTGAGCCCCGGGCACCCAGTGCCTGGCAGCCCCAGAAGGTTGGGGACCACTGCCTTAGGGGTCATTTTTAACTTTGCATGTTTAATGTGTTGTCTCGGTGCCCCAAGGCAGAAGGCCCCATATCCCATTCCCCTGCCCGTGGGGCCAGCCCGTTCCCCCAAGGAATGGGGCTGGATTGGAGCCTAAGTCCCCAGTAGGGAAAAAGTCCCATGTCTCCGTGAACTTGGTCGTCCTCCCACCTCCATTTCACATTGAAGTTTCATTTCTCACTGACACTGGAGGGTTACAACTGTGGCTGTGGTAGGGGTGCCCACGGGGCATTATGTAGGGAAGGGGTGCTAATGCCAGGGGAGGTGTCTGCCCTTGTCAGCTCCACAGAGGCATGTCTATGCTGGAAGGCAAAAGTCAAATTAAATTACACAACTTCAGCTACGTCAATTGTGTAGCTGAAGTTGAAACAGCTGAATTTGGCGTTTGGCGCTGTCTGCACAGCAGGAAGTCGAAGGATGAGCACTCTCCCTCCTCCGACTTCCCTTCCTCCTTGTGAAATGAGGGTTACAGGAGTCGGAGTAAGAAGTCCTCCAGCTCGACATTATTCTGAAACAGTGGCTTGCCGTGTAGACGCATTCCGTGTTATTTACCACAGCTGTGTAGACATACCCCAGTCTACATGAAACATTCAAGAAACCGTAGGGCCCAGTCAAATCCAGGCCACGTTTCCAGAAGTGCAATTATAGCTTTGGTCAGTAGATGGCGACATTAATGCGTGTCCAGAAACACACACGTTAGGGGAGCTAATACTGTTTATTGGACAAGCTTTTGTGGGTGGAAGAGAAGCTTTCTGCGCCTGCGGGGATGGAAGATCTGCTTCCCGCCGGCCCTGGGGCCGCGTGCACAGCCTTCTCCCAAAAGCGCCGGAAGCGTCCAGGCATCCTGCAACTGAGCGGGAGCAAACGTGAGCCTGGGGTCCAAGCAGACCCTCTCGGCTCTTTTTCCATCCTCCCTTTGCCCCTCCACTGCCTCAGGGACCACAGAGCCAGCAACACCCCTGGCACGCGGCTATGACAACAGCTGCTCCCAGCCTCCCCTTGGCACCTCTGGGGCTGCAGGACCCAGGAGGCCCCTCCTGCAAGAACCGGGTCAATCCCAAAGCCTCTCAGTCCCTTTGGAGAACCAGCCGCTCCTCCTGTCCCAGCCACACCCCAACCAGGCCAGAGATGGAACCGTATGCAGGAGTTGAGCTCCTCCGGGAAAACCGCTCCCCCCCTCACAGCCCCAGTGCCCTACATCACAGGCTCCCGGGGTACCCTTAGGTGCCATCGATTCCCTGCTCAGTGGCCCCCAGGGTCTGGCTCAGCTCTGCATGCAGGCGGTGAGATGAGGATCTACAGTGACTTAGCATTGACGAAATCTCCCTGGAGCTAGGGCCTGCAGCTTGAAGCTGGACTTAAGAATGAAATCCAGGGGTTCTAACTCTGGCAGGGGCTACTGCCCCAGTGTCCCAAATGGCGCCCTTGCTTACTGGCTCAGTCTTACACAAGAACTCCAAGGACCTGAGTCTCCTGCTCATCAAGAGTCCCTACTCCATAAATCAGGGAGGGTCTGTCTACTCTACAAAGTTAATTTGAACTAACAGCCGTTAGGCTCCAAATTTGATGGTATTACTACTCTCAGTTATCTGATGAGACCTCAGGACATACACCCCTCCTGGACCTCTCAGATACCCCAGAGACATTGTGGGCAACCCACGCGAATGAAGCGGGGTTGCTAGCCTCTGCAACACCAGTGCAAATAACATACAGACACAACAAGCCTTTCCCAAAGGTACCCCTGTATCTATTGTCTAGGGAGGCACAAGAGGGCATTAAGCCTGTAATCTCTTCCTCCTTGGACAAGGGATACTTGTTTATACAACTTCACCATGTAATACACCTATACTACCTGTGAAAAAG